AGAGTGACAATCCTGAGCAAGTTTAACTCTTTGTTTCCGGTCCATCAAGAAGTCAACAATCCAACCTTTGACTTGACTCGGAATATCATATGTTGTTAGTTTTTGAACAAGAACACTGTGATCGATAAGGTCAAAGGCCTTACGGAAATCAAGTAGGACTACTCTTGCCGTGGCACCATTTCCGTCGGTGTTAACAAGCCAATTATGCGTCATATTGACCAAAGCATGTGTAGTAGACGATTTGGGAATAGTTCCAAATTGTCGAGGGTCGATTCTTTGTAACACAGCAGGTTTAACGTACTTTTCAACAATGTGATCTTCAGCGAGTTTAGACAGGATAGGCGTAAGGGAAATCGGACGGAGGTGCTTGTTAATATCTTGCTGGATCGGTTAAGGTCAAGACTTGGTGTGACTGACCAGGCACTCAACTGGCTTGCATCTTACATCTCCGACCGTACACAGCTTGTTGCAGTTAATGGAGCGCTGTCAGATAACTTTTCGCTGGCGAAAGGGATGCCGCAAGGGTCGTGCCTTGGCCCGCTTCTGTTAAATACCAGCGGTATATACTAGCGAATTATTCGATATAGTGGGTCGACACTTGCCAAGCGTGCACTCTTACGCTGATGACACGCAATATGTACTTGGCGTTCAGTCCAAACGTGCAGGGTGATGACGCTAGTGTGGTAAAGGCTATGTGTGATTGCATCATGGATTTAAGAAAGTGGATGATTAGAGACCGACTCATGTTTAATGATGATAAGGCTGAGTTTTTGCTTCTTGGTACCAAGCAACAGCTAGCTAAGGTTGCCATTAATAGTATTACTGTTGGAGGGTCTGTTGTGAACACAAAGCCGGTTGTCAGGAATCTAGGTTCCTGGTTTGATTCTCAACTTAGTAAATCTACTCATATTAACAAGCTCTGTAGTTCAGCTTTCTCTCATCTACATAACATCAGTCGTATTCGCAAGTTCCTACGCCCCGTGGAAACTAAGTCCTTGGCGCATGCATTCGTTACTTCTCGTGTTGACTACTGCAATAGCCTTTTGTATGGTCTACCTGCCTCGCAGCTTAACAAGGTTCAGCGTGTTTTACACGCTGCAGCGAGGCTTGTTTGCTGCGCTCCGCGCTTCAGCCATATTACACCACCCACTGCACTGTTAAAGCAGCGCATTCATTTTAAGATTTTGCTATTTACATTCAAGGCTATCCATGGTATAGCCCCAACATACATTCAGAATTTAGAACTAAGGTCACACTAGGCGATAGAGTCCTTCCAGGTGGCTGCGCCCAAGTTATGGAATGTTCTACCGCGTGAGCTTCGCGAAATTCCAATTTTGCATACTTTTAAGAGCAATCTTAAGACGTTCCTTTTTAAGTTAGCTTATGATTGAATAGTTTTCATTATTACATATCGATATTTTAGATTTTTATGCTGGAAGTGTATATATATTCTTATTGTTTTGCTTACTGTAAATACGTTTGTAGTTTTTCATACTATTATTACTGATGTAATGTGTATTTGATCATTTGTATGAATACCTGCCCAATATAAGTAATTAAATTATTAATATCAATTATTATTATTATTATTATGACATCACGTTACTATGGTAGCAAAATAACTAGATGAAAACAAGAGAGAATCATTCTCTCTTGATGAAAACAATAGGCAGTTTCTGCAACGGCAAACAGGAGAAAAACAATAGGTTTAGATTGGCAAAAAAAACTTCTTTGCACCTGCATCCATGCATTTTTGTACATTTCTTAGCCGTTGTTGCACGACCGCAACATGAAATTTCCTAATTTCACGCGCCCGCTTTATGTAGTAGCTTAGCA